GCATACAAATCAGAAACAATTGAGGCTAAAAAAATTCAAAAGATTAGCTGAACTGTTTGTTGTTTTATAAAAGTCCAGAAATTGCTGAACTGTAGCTCTTTGGTTGCAACCCATAAGGATGTGAATGCGAACCCTTTGTAAAGGATAATCAAATAAATTATTGTTTTCCCTATTTTGCTACTTCACACTGGCTGATTCGGTCTATGGCAAAGACATGTAACCCCACAGCATGATACAGCCACCGTAACTTTTCACCATTGGTTCAGACTCAGAGCTACTCTATATGCAGTGTTAGCTTCACAGTAATCTGCAAAAAAATTAAATCTAGGTAGGTCAATTTTTCTTACATTTCCTGCATTTTTCCTTGAATTGAGCAAGAAAGTAAGACAATTTGCCAATGGAAAAATCACATTTAAAATAAGAAAAAAACAACAGCAGCCTCTTATTTAATGTGCATAACATATACTTATTCTATTGTAAGGGTAACATACTCATTCTATTGGCAGATCATCTTATTTCCCTACTCAAATTAAGGGTAAATACATTTATTTTAAGTAAGTATTACGAACTCTTAGATCTTTTTTCCCAGTGTATTTTAGATATAGGTCCCATTTTGGCTGCATCTGACCTGAAAACCTTCTTCCACATCCCTACTATATCTCCTAAAAAGCCTGAGAAAGACTGCAGACGGATCAAATTTGATTCTGTAAGTTTTCATTTGTTAACTAATGTTTATTGCGCAACATGAGGCAGAACAACTGGATTCATGCTGAGTTTAATCTAAACAGGAGAATAATATTTGATACCTGAATTCTCTGGGCTGTATTTTATATAGACGTATGATATACTTATCAACACCTTTGAACTTTTAAATTTAAAACCACCTATTATTTTACTACCAATTTGGACAGCTTTGTTTGTCCATCTCCATCCAGATGTGATCTTAAAACAGATGATGCAAGAAGCAAATTAGGTAGTAAAAGAGGCAGAAGTGAATAACAGGATCTGATAGAAAATGGGGCAGGAGCAACCTGTCTTGTTTTACACCTCTGTTGCAGTGTTTGGGAAAGCAGGACACAGTGAGGCATCTAAAATACAGCTTGTCATCAGCGGTAGCCTGTCACAAAGAGGGAAGTCAGCAGCTGTCATTTTTTTCTGTTAAGCATTAAAGGTGGAGTGGAAGTGCCCTCTCCCAGTGATGAAAAATGTCTCCCACATTTCGACAACAATCTGCGCGTATCACTGACAATGTGCCTGCAAGCACCGCTGTGCACTAAACTTTACACAAAAGGGTTCATTGCCATGGTTTTTCATCTGCCCAGTAATCCTTTTGAGCGAGACGTTCCTTCCTGTGACTTAACGCTGACACCCCATAGGCTCTGCTTCTATCCTACAGATTGAATGAAAACAAACACATACATATATAACCTGTGGTGCACTCCGGGAACTGTAGGTGGAGTCAAAGCACAAAGAATCTCTACTTGTAAATAGACCAAATTTTTCTACCAACAATGAAGAAAAAAACCTTTTCTGCACTAAAAATTAGAAAATTTAGCAAAAAATGAAAGCGGGAGAATTGCCATTCCTGAGCTGCCACTGGGCTGACTGCTGCAAATGAAACCAGAAGATGGGATGGAGATGCAGCAGAATCCCCAGACGACACACAAGAAGGAAGGTCAAGCCTAAACAATCTGTGTCCTCTTGAATTGTGTCTGTGGAGCGTTGAGAACTCCACATGGGCTGTTAGCCTAATCCAAAAGGCTAATATATCAAGGACATAAAGATAAATCTAATTTCTTATTTGAACATTGAAGAACAGATATAACGGATCATTTAGATCTTGCATTCTGCAGTTTCTTTATATCCTGTTTTCAGTTTTTTAAGGTAGCTTTACCATTTTCCAACAAAGGCTGGACATGTCTCCAAGTAAAACCTTCTTTATATTCCCTTTGACTGTTTAAGCACTCTAAAAAAGGCCCATGATGTCACTGTTTCCCCTCTAACACGCCACCTCTCAGCCTCTGTTCATAATCATTTACTTGTCTTCCTTCCATTTGCAGCTGTCAGAATTAAACTGTGCATAATGGCTGCCATCAAGTCGGCTGGTTCCTGGCTGCTGCTAACCCCAAATCAACATTCCTGCTTCTTAGTAATGCTCGTTGTGATTGTTGGGCCAAATTGTTTGTTTTGAAAATGGTAAATCAAACAGCCCCATGCAAAAGAAATAGCATCTGATTGGCCTCCAGCGTTCCCTTTGTTGATTTGAATTAAATTCGAAGTGAGACACGAGTGTGAATTTGCACACGTGTGAACATGCGAGTAGTTTTCATATGCTGCTGCTCTCCCTGTTTAAGTGAGTTCATTTCACGTCGCATGATGTTAAACAGCAGTTTGCCTGCTGACTTGTTTTAATTTTTTATTTTGTGAGCCACTGCACAAACCAGACAGGATGCGAGTAACAATTAAAACACACTTTCTCTAGCAAGCTCCTAATGGTATGGCTGATTAGTGAAGACGCCGCTTTTCTAAAGACAGGAGGCTGTGTGTTCAGTCAGGGGAAGCCATTATTGACAGCTATTGAATGATCTACAGTTGTAAAGCAGGGAAAAGCTGGATGTCTAAATGAAGCAGACACTCTGATCAATGCTGTTTAAGATGGAAAAAAACCCAGCATCCTGTTTTTGGTACCAGTGTCATTGTGGAAAGCTGTCTGTGTGTCATGACAGGATGTCTACAGCCAATATGCTTTACTGGAGTGAATAGAAATGGACTCAAAGTGTGTTTAAACAGCTGTGCTGACTTCTAAACCAAGAAGATAGAAGTAAAGAATGACGATCAGCAACTTGAAAGTAATTACAGCTTCTTGACTATTTATTTTCTTTCAACTTTTACCCATTTTGTTCCATTCCAAACAACACATTTCAGGCTGTGTGCTTTATTTAGATGTGAAATACTAGATTAACATATTAACAACCTTTAAGCCCCCATTTACTAACCTTAAATAACATTGTCATAGCATTATCATATGCTTATATGGTCGTCGTCATGTATCATGCTGAATTGGTTTAAGTCTTTGAATGTAAAGTGGGCGACCGTGGTCTGAATCCTGGTTGCGTCAGAAAGGCCATCTAGCGTAAAAATGTTGCCAAGTTATAATGACTTATTGTGGCAGCCCATGATATGGGAGCAGCCAGAGGGACAAAAACGAACAAGTTTATATGTTTTGCCATCTATAGTCTGAAAATGTAAATGAATGTTTATTCAGTATAATCCGAATGCTTCACAAGAATATGAAAGAAATGTTCACTTCAATGTAATATCTAAGTGTTTCTGTTCTTCTCTCTATAATTTACATAATGTAGCATTAGATTTTTTAAGTTAAATGCACTTTTTCTAAACATTTTAAAATATCCTTACCGTTTATAAACGTATCAGATATTAGCTTTCTGCAGCACAAAAGGTGTTTTTCTTCAGCAAGGGTGGTTGTGGCTTAGAAGAGTCTACGTGAAAGTACAGCTAAATACAGGGTCGTTCAATAAGAAAAGCTGTTAAAATACTGTAAAAGCCTTAAAACCAAGACGGAGGTTCACTTCATACCAGGAAGAGAATAGACGTTATATAAGAGGTTAAATCAACGCACAGCTATGTCTTAAAATGGCCTAGTCAAAGTCCAGACCTAAATCCAACAAAGAAACTTAAGCAAAGATTAAGCCTGTAATGCCAAATGTATCATATTTGATACATACGGTTTGTTTTGCGTCTGACAACTTTTGCATAATTTAATGGTAAAAACTTTGCTCAAAATCCTATTGTACACAATCAGATATACCTGATAACAGAGGGCAGAAGACTAAACAAAAAATAATCTTGACTTATCGCATAGTAATAAATTATTAATATCAAAAATGTATTTCTGTTTTTTCTTTTTAAATATTTTGTTAAAAGGCCAAATAAGGACTTCAAACCAAAAAAAAGTAATTTTCTGTTTTGTTTTATTCTTGGATCGGGCTTTAAAGGGTTAAATAATGATCAAGCAGGATCATAATTGATATGTGAGGGACCTTTAACTATTAAATATTGGTGATAACCCCAATAGGGTTGCAACTGTAATGTAGTGAAAAGAGGGGACTGAATGTAAATGCACACCACACTTTTCAGCTCTGACTTCTATTTGTAGAGATTGCTGCAAACCGTGCATCAATTTTCCCTTACTTTGGCATTAGGGATTATTTTGTTAGTCTATTGCATTAAAGTCAAACAAAAGAAATCTGTTTGTGGTTGGAATGTGACAGAATGGGAAAATTATTCCTGAAAAGCCGAAGAACATGTAAGCGATTCTGCTTTTAGCCACACTGACTAAGAATACATCTGATATAAATGAAAGAAAACAATCATAAAGAGGAGAATAAAAAAAAGAAGAAAGCTCAACTGACAACTACTTTATATGGAGACAATCCAACAATACAGGGAAACAATGTTCAATATGATGATTAATTATGACTCAGTCGGTTTTCCTGGAGAGCATGGGAAATTAAATGATAAAATGATACCAAATGATAAAAACTAATCGACCTTTTAATCTTGTAAAGGAAGTCATTAAGATTGTACGTTTGTCTTAAAATTTATACATCCAAAGCCTATTTAAAAATGAGTTATAAATACTTTAGATAATACTCTTCATTAATATTCTTTTTAAGTTATGCTTATATCTTTATCAATCCAGTCAGTTTGTAATGAAACATCTATTTCTTTTATAAAGCTAATTATCATTTAGTACAAGAGTTTCTCTGCTGTGGCTGATTTCTTTTTTAAGCCCAAATTAAACTGCAGCTTATTATTTTAAGCAAATTGCATTGTTTAATGTACATGGCAGATTATTTATTAGTCTACACTCTATGGCATTTCTATTGGTGTTAATGTTTTAGAGGACTATGGGGAGAAGCAGAGCAGGAGAAGTTTAAGAGAGCAGCAGCCACACAGAACATGGACAGAGCGTTTACCTGGCCCTGTGCTCTGTGGGTACGCCAAGTAGCCGCCTCTTCCACGGGCCCCCCTACCTGAGCCACGCGCTGCTGCTACCGCCGCCGCCGCCACCGGTCCATATGCCGTCGCTGGGAAGCCTGCAGGCACATACACACACATATACACACACCCATCACTTCCTGCAAATGGATGAGCGCGTCCCAGAGCGACAGGACGACGCTGATACCGATGCTGAGCCGTAGGATCAAGCTATAGCCGTCAGAGCCGAGGGTTCATGTCAGAGCAACATCTACCAGCAGACACCCACAGAGTCCACTGTGGCAGTCAGATCCCTGGTGTGTGTGTTAAAACATGAGGGATTTTTAATGGATCACCTATTCTGGTGGGGTTCTGGCACTCTTCAGAGCTGGGAGAAAGAAGAGAAAAAATCCTACACCGGGTGAGGTGAAGAAGTAGGTGACTAACTTTAGATTTCAAATTTTTTTTCAGTTGTACTTAAAGATATCCAGCAGCTTTTATATGAAGATATAAGTTATTAAGATAAGAAAGTTATCTTAGTTAACCATGGCTCTGGTTAAGAGTGGCATTAAGGAATTAATCAACTGAAATTTTTGTAATATTTGTCATATGATTTGACAACACAAAGTAGGCTACAGACTTAACATTTGTTTATGTCTGAAATTATCCAAAGTACCGAAGGTTTTATCATTTAAAAAAAAAGAGATTAGGCAGAGAGCGTCTTGTTTTTTCACTTTTTAAAGAAGTATGCGTTCATAAACTACAATAATTTTAGAGAATAAAAAGTATGAAGTGCTACTGAAGGTGTGCTTCTTTTCACATCTGATGAAAACATAGTGGTGGTAGTGTGATGATCAGGGCTGCATTGCTGCTATATGGACTGGAAGAATTGCCCTAATTGACAGAACTACGAATTCTGCTCTGTTCCAAAACATCCTAAAGGAATCGGATCGGCCATCTCCTCCTCACCTCGAACTCAAAGGCACTTTGATCCAAAGCATAGCAGCAAGTCTGCCCCTGGAAGGCTCATAAAAAATAAAATATATGCTTTGGAGATGTCTTTTCAATATCCAAAATTTAATCTGATTGAAGAGTTGAAAACATAAAGGTTGGTTTGAAAAGCTTTCTTTTTCTCATCAAAAAAATTCATAATACTTGCATCTATGCAGGATATTTTAAAATGTATTTCTTACAATCCAACAGAAAGTAAAAACAACAGGAACCTGTAATATGGTAAAACCTCGATCACAGTTTAATAAATCCTTGTATTATCTTCCTATCCTTTAGATCAAGTGAGATTCCTCCTAAAAAAAGGGGAACATTTAGATTCTATGGCAGAAAACTGAGCAAAATGACTTCAGCCACAGATTGTATTTTCAAAGGAAATTCATTCTAAAGCTGCCTTTACCACAATGACCTGATAAAATACTATAGACACATCTAAGCTGCACACAGACACGTAGATAATAGCCCCACCTCCAGGGCTTATTTGTGAATTTGGTTCCCAATTACGGTGACTTTGAATGGAAGCAGAATAATCCAGCATAATGCATTCCACATTTTTTTTTTCTGTTTGTCGGGGCTATTCAGGTGGAAGATACAAGAAAATAACTTCCCACAATCACACAGAGGCATCGGTAGGAGGATCTGTCACTCAGGGGAGATACGCATCTGTTAGCTTATGTTAAAACTGTGAACTCATTTTCTTAGGTACTCCCAGGCTTTAAAGCATATTTGTATGCACGTTTACAAATCAGTTCAAATTGTCGGTTTAAGACACACTTATGAAATAAGATTTAATCCATTTTCTAAGGGTCTGATAATTTCAACAAATATCAGCCCAATAATCAGAGTGTAATTAAGCTGAAGCAGGATCTGTGAATTGTAATTACAACGCTGGCCCTAATGAACACAACTGCTAGAGGTGGCAGAGAGAGAGGCTAGTCCATGCCCAGGGCTCGCTCGCGCTCCTCGCTCAGCACAGGAATGGCATGTCATTAGCAGTGGTGATGAGATTCCTCACTCTGGGCTCAACACCGTCTATGCCTAATCAGCCTCCTAAAATTATCTCCACAGGAGCTTCTTTCCTCACTCGCAAAAATATGATCTCCAAATTCCCGCGGTTAGTTTCTCTACATGTTTTTTTTATAGCTAAATGTGGGATTTCTGCTTCTCTGGGTGAAGATTGCGGTCGTTTAAAGGAAAAAAAAAAAGGAGTACAAGACACCTTCAAGGATGTATTTTTCCAAATGCTGAGGAGGTGAGAGGAGCAGCAGCAGGTGACCTATTTTCTGAGCCTGCTTTGTTCGAAGAGGAGAAGACCAATGAGATGACGAGGGGGGTTGGGGCGGTGAGGTGAAAGGGCAGGGTCAGATGAGGCGCAGTCGAAGACAGAAAAACACGTAGCTTTTCATCAGCCGGCTGAGAAGGAGGTAATTCACAACTCGGTCGACACAATGTGGCCGCGAGCGCGCGTGTTGGGTGTGAGGCGCCTTCGTGCTGCGCCCGGCCGGCAGGTGAAGAAGAGAAAGGGACGCCACTTCCCCTACCGACTGTCTAACAGCTCAGGAAAGAATATGAGACTGTTGACGGCAGAAACCGTGTCAACAAAAGCCAACGGAACAAAAGCAACTGAAATCAACTATCTTTGTGCTACTGTTCCTGAATCCAGTTTTCTCAGCTCAAATGATGCATTTTATCTTTTTTTTTTTTTTTTTGCAAATAAGAAGGAAAATCAACAAATTAACACTGTTACTCTACTAATGTTGGCCATGCACCTCACATTTGAACAACAGCATCCCCCAAGGTTGCTCTGCAGAGCTGCTCACCCCCCCATCCTTCTTTTTCCTAAGTGCTGAATCTATCTTCTCCTCTCCGCCATTGTCATGACACCCCCAATAGACCCAGTGGCTCGGAAGTTAGTTGCGGGCAAAGTTGTGGTGAGAGATTAACTTTGCAGGATTAGGTGGGTTAATTAATAGATGGCTGCTGCTCATTGTTTTGCGCTCACGCTGTAAGAAGCCACCCAAGAGAAGCGCTGCAGCATTAAATCAATTTCATGGCCCTTTTATTACTGAGGAGATAAAGCCAATATTTAGCTTTCAATTCTTCACAATTATTGGGCCCCTGCTTTGCCATGAGTGGCTGCGCTTGGCTGGGGACAAGGACACATCTGTTTATGAGCTGCGGAGGCCCGGGGGCCTTGGTGTCCAGACTCCGGGGAACTGTCCTCAGCTCCCGCTCCCACTCTAGCTCCTCCCCAACCCCCCATCCTCGAGCCTGCAGCACACAAACTCAGAGCTTCCTCAGGAGTTTACACAGAAAGGAAGAAAGATTAGAGCGCAAAGAAAGACGAGGAGGGTCAGGAAATTCCCAGAACGCGGTTTTCAGAGCAAATAAATCACAGTTTGTTTGCAAAGGCACTAATAAAACAAACTGTTTTTACAAAAAGACTATTCTGTGTCAAAACAGCTAGTTTTGTAACTATAGGACCTTTGCAGTAGCATTTATGACAGTAGTATTTTTAGTTCTTCATATTTTCAAAATATTTAGTTTTGAGGCTAACTCAGAGCAGCATACAGGGAAGCAGAAGGGACAAAAACCACGGCATTTTAAGTGTTAAAAATCAGAATCTGCATATCCATTCATCTCATCTGTGTTTCCCAGTGTTTAGGGTGATGTGTAGTTTGTTTTCAGCTAATCGTAGTCCATTAGCATGTTAGCATATAAATAGCATTTTGGTTTTATCTGACCTAAACTCCTTCTGTAACGTACTTGACCTCTTCTCACTGGCTTTTTGCAAATTGGAAACATGATTTATTGTACAGTAAGTTTCTTTCAACTATTTAATCTTGAAATTATTTCCTAAAAGCCAGAACTCTGGAAAAAAAATATTTTTCTGTCCCAGTTAATTATTAGAATTCATTCATGAATGATTTATTAAATGGTCTTTAAATGGCACTGCCCCAGGTAATATCTACCTAATGTCCCATTAGTTCTCTAAGGTCAGCTGATCAGTTACTCCTGTCAGTAACTAGAGCGAGTTGTACGCTGAGAGGGGAGTGGATCTTCTCTGAAGCCAAACCCTGGCAGGCTTACACTTTGACTGACTTTAAATAACTTTTAAAATCTCATCTTTTCTTTTTGCTTTTTAACAATCAAAAGGATGTTGTGTTGATTTTTTTGTTTTCTCTTTATTTGACTTAAAATGTTTTGTTCATTTTCAGTGCATTTAATTGTGTTATTATTATTTCTGCATCTGTGCAGCACTTTAGTGTTGTTGGTTTTAAAATGCTATATAACCAAACTGGACTGGATTGTGAACAGATCCTCCCTCAGAGATGCGATGGTGTAGCCCCGTCAGTGTTAGCATTGGCCTCCTACCACTGGCTAACACTCCTCACCCTCTCTGCCTATTATATTAATTAAAATGCATTTACAATTTTTGCACTACTTTGTTTCATACGCCCCATTAAAAGGCAATCAAATAAGTTAAAGTTTGTGGTTATATAGTGAAATATACAAAGCTGAGGATGTATGAATATTTTTACTAGGCACAGTATTCTTTCCAAAGGTATAATACATTTCTATCTGTTTAAGAAAAGGATTTCCATGTCAAAGCACATAAGAGTCAATTTTCATGACAGCCGGCCCTTTAAGGCTGCAAAGTAGTATTTTTCTAAGGGGCATACGAGTTCTTTTCTTCATGCACCTGTATTTTCTGAGTCTCTGTGAACCTGACTGTACTGAAGAGGGAGGAGAGACACAGTAGGGGCAGTGTCAGTAATGATCAAACAGCACAGTGCAATTTTTGTGTCAAGGCTTCCCAGGATTTCTTCTTTTTTTTCCCAGTGCCAGACTAGGTCAAAGGCTTTGTTTTCTCCATTACAAAGCTGTCAAAGCACTTTAAGAGCAAAATCATATTCAGCGAAGTAGAGAAAAACGAGGTGGTGAGCTGGTTGAATTAATAACAACTGATACGGTGGTATTAGAAAGTACATTCACAAGCTGGATTTCTGACAACAAAATTGCGAAACACAATTTCCTGCACACATTTTTGGATTATTTTAAGTTGTGCAAACAAACCCTTAAAACCCCAAACACTACAGTCCCCTAGGGT